GGATTAAACGGTTTAAAACACATGCTCAAAGTAAGCCGGATTTTGCCGATGTGTCTATGTGGATTCAAAAGTCGTAAATAATCTACAAAATGGAGGAGACCAATCTGATCGGAGCAACTGTGACAAATAATCCAACTGAAACCGGCATGAACAATGACTATGTTTTATGGTTTGGACACTTTAAGGGCAGAAGAAACATTTCTATTAAAGAAAGAATTATACATTTCTGTCTTGTTATGCCTATAATAGCTACTAACTTGAATTGTTATTAAAATAAATTAATCAATTATTTTTTATATTTTATTGTAATATAGAGACAAGGCTTTTAGTGACAATCATGTATTGCGTTACAATTATATGTAAAAAAAAAATATTTGGCCTCAAATCATCTGAGGCCTGGCAATAGAGGGACACAATACAATTAGGAAACCTGGAAATGAGCATAATATGTCCTCTTCAATGAAAAGCTTGTTGCACAGTATCCCTTGGTTATAAATCAGTGGCAAAACTATCATACGGAAAGAAAATCAATCACACTTATATCTGGATTTCTCTTTAATTATGAAGCCTGGTGTTTTTTTGCTAACCCTGTCTGAAATATATTTGGCCAGATAATCCACCAGGACAGTTAGCTATAAATCAAGCTGGTCAAACAGGAAAAATCCCCCCCAAGGCCTGTTTATGTGACTGTCAGACGCAGAGAGCCCACCTGGGAGCGCTGCCATCAGCGTGGGATGTCCTGGTTAGGATTCCTGTTCAATCACTGCTCTTGGCTCCCGCTCGTGTTGCCTGTGGCATTTTGATTGAATGTTTTCTATTCACACACAGAGCTCCCTTTAATGGCCCTTTTTCATGTGACAGTGATATATATGCAGGTAATTACAATTGGCTATGATGGATAGTGCTGTCTGATTTACCATGATTATCCTGAGATTAAACATGTTTCAGAAATATCAAATGTCAAAAACTATTACAAAGTCGCACGAGGAGTTGGTTCTCTGGGGTTCTTTATTTTAAATGATGTTACTGCATCGCTAACTGTGAGAGTATGAATTTCTACTTTGTGTTAAAAAACAATTTAGAGTCTAGATCGTGTGATGTTTGTGAGAAGCAATGCTCCACGTGCCATGACATCTGACAGGATGTACTTATGAACTAAGTGTGCCTTGGTTGTGGTGTTTACATCTCTCAGCATGGCTGTCACAGTGCAGAGTGTGAAAACACACTCATTTGATGTTTAGACAGACAGGTTTCACAGGCCTGACTGAAGCCTGCCGAAACGCAGGCGGGTGCTTTATAGACATGGTGACAGAGTCTTCACAACACCCTTCCATTTAAGTTTTTTAATCGTCTTGGTGGCGTAAACCATTACTTAGTTTTAATCCAAGTCCCTGTTACATCCCGGGACACATTTATCTCCACTGTCATCGTGAGTAACAGTTTGTTCTAAATTGACCTCCCTTATTAAATAAAGGTTATGCAGAATAAAAAAATGCTCAAGGTTGTTCTCTGAAAGCTTGGCTGGGAGGGTGCCAGGCAGGAGGGAGGAAGCCAAAGATATTCCTGAACTAAGAGGACATCCGCCAGAGAGACAGGGCCTTAAAGTCTAAATGGTCTGATTAGAGGATCGCCCCCGCCAGCACTTCTGATTAAGTGGAGTGATGGAGGCGATAAAGGCCTGGCATGTGACGCTGGACCATTAAGTGGGTAAAATGAAACAAAGTTCACTTCTTGGCTGGATGGAGATCGTCCTGTCTCATATTTTATCCTCCGTGCACAGCGAGATGGGACCATATCAGTCATCCTCTCATGCCAGCACCCGTTCCATGTGTCTTCCTGCTGCAGCCATTTCAAAGACTGACACATGCTCAGAGTGTGAACAAAAGCAAGGGCAGAGGCAGGAACATTTCTGCTTGGAGAGTTTCACATTTTCCTCATCGGTTGCCGATTAATGGCCTCATTCTTTTTCCTTATTTTTGTATTTATGCTTCCTGAATCCTGACCCAAACTATTTTCCTCCCGTACCTTCTACAGTATGGACAATTCAATATTTGTACATACTTTAGTGTATGTAATAAGCAGATTAGATTTCATTTTCCTTTGGAGACACACCAACAAGATAAAATTCATTTTAAAAACAATAACTGGCGGAGAGAAGAAAGCAGAAACACCCATGTAGCCCCGCAGGGCGTTTGCTTTAACTAAGTAAAAAAAAATAAGCTAAATTTTCTTCCAATTCTGGTGACGTATGGCTGCTTTCTGTTCCTCAGCTTTGACAGATGTGCCCCAGCATGTTCAGAACTCCCTCAGGCATCTTTCTCAACACTCCATGCACACTACACTAAACATAAAATATGAAACCTAAAAGTAGAAATGCACATTCTAAAACACAAGGGGCATATTTATGTCAAAAGCTCGTGCCTCAGCACTGTCAGCCCTTGCAGTGTCATTTTGGGACACAGCTCTTGATAAGGAATTGGGTCATTTGTGCTGGCTGAGGAGGAGGAACGGGGGGTTACGTAATGTAACCCTAGTTCTATAAGCACAGGCGGAAGCCTCTACTGGACTCTATGGGTACTCCCCTCATCAATGATACGCGAGCGTTCACACACTGAAGTTGTATAAACGTAGCCGGCCAATCAGGGCGAGCCTACCTGAATGCGCCCGCAGGCCCAGTCAGGAGGTGTAGCCGCCTTATATACTGTGGGCCTGCGGGCGCATTCAGGTAGGCTCGCCCTGATTGGCCGGCTACGTTTATACAACTTCAGTGTGTGAACGCTCGCGTATCATTGATGAGGGGAGTANCCTTGGGCAGTCTCATCTGGATCCGCACCAGTCTGGTTTCAAGGCAGGTCACTCCACATAAACTGCTCTCCTTAATGTCTCTGAGGAACTGCACACGGCTAAAGCAGCATCCCTCTCCTCTGTCATCAGCCTTTTGGACCTGTCTGCTGCATTCGACACAGTGAATCATCAGATCCTCCTTCGCACTCTCCAAGAACTTGGAGTTTCAGGCTCTGCACTTTCCCTCCTCACCTCATACCTCAAAGACCGTACCGACAGGGTAACTTACCCTGTCGGTACGGTCTTTGAGGTATGAGGTGAGGAGGGAAAGTGCAGAGCCTGAAACTCCAAGTTCTTGGAGAGTGCGAAGGAGGATCTGATGATNGAACGTTCAAGTGTTTTAGACAGTCTCAAGGAGGCAAGAGTAAACCCTCTCCTAAAGAAACCCACTCTCAACCCGTCTGATGTTATAAACCACAGGCCAGTCTCTCTCCTCCCATTCCTGTCTAAAACACTTGAACGTGCTTTAAACAACTCTCCTGTTATCTCCATCAGAACAACCTTCTGGATCCGCACCAGTCTGGTTTCAAGGCAGGTCACTCCACATAAACTGCTCTACT